TTTTTTTTTATGTGAGATGTAATACCAGGTATGCGTGTGTAATTTAGGTAATAAATCTGGCAGCCCTTGTATTGACCTCTTCGAGCTTCTTAATGCACTTGGTGTAAGCCATTATAAGTGCATTATAAGTTACGTATTTGATGTTAGGTTTACAGTTGTGTAGATTCCTCCTCAGAAACCCGTGTTTAGCTAGCTTTGTTAGTGGTGAAATCAGTGTGTATTAAAGGTGAGATTGTTTGTAAGCCAAGGTATTTGTAAGATGCTGTAGGTGTTGTTGGTTGTGTAGAGAATAGGTGTAACGTATTGGAGTATGTGATCTAGTGAAGCGGAGAACTTTGCATCTGTCAGGTCTGAACGACATTTGCCACTGTTCCAGGGCGTCTATGTCATGTTGTAGGTCTACAGTCATCTTCAGTTTTAATAGGTCAGAACAAAAGACTGTCATCAGCAAAATGTCTAGTGGAAGAGTTAGGTACAGAAATTGGAAGATCGTCAATGCACAGGCAGAGAAGGGAGCCAAGTGAAAACTGTCAAACTCTGTTAAAGGGTTTAGCAAAGTCGAGCAGTATGGTGTTAACTTGTTTTGTGTCGCATCTGTTGCTGTAGGGCATTGTTGTGATGTGGTGATTTAGTCTCACATGGAAATGAGTGTTGATTAAGCATGTTTTGTGTTCTGGGTCAGTCACAAGGATGATGTTGATTGCCATAGTGTCATGTTGTGATGAAGAAATGTTTAGGGTTGTTTCTGACGTTTGCGAGGTGGGTGGAAATGTTTTCATGTTCTGTTTTCTTTATGTTTTTGGATTTTTTTTTATGATAGGATTTGAAAGGAACCTAGTTTTCTGGAGTGTTGTATGTTTGCGCGCGTCTGTAAAGTCGATATTTTTTACAATGTCTGCATAGGTCCCTGGAGAATGTCTTCTTAGTGTTTTCTACAATATGTGTTTATCCATGGATGTGAGTATGGTGAATTTAAGGTTATCCTAAATAGAATTACATGGTTTTGTGTGGGGATCTATAAAACAGTAGTCTGTGCTGAAGTTGGTGATGTTCTGTGTAATTGCGTCTATATCAGCTTTGGAAAAGAGGAAAATTGGTCTGCGTCAGTTTCTGTCTGGCTGGTCTGAGGTCTGCGTCAACGAGGACATTGTCATGGTCACTTAATCCTGGGATATTCTTGGTGCTTATTATGTCTAGAACGTTGTCTGCGAGAAACAGGTCAAGAATGTGTGAGGTGGTGCGAAAAGGAGCGACTTACAGGTAGAGAGTTGGAGTTGGATCCAGGCGATTTCACAGTCTGTGTCAAGGTCCGGTATTGGTTTGGTAATGAGTTCTGGGTTGGTGGCGATGAGGACGCCACCACCTCTGCCATCGTCATTAGAGCGGTCTATATAGTAGTCATGATAAAGGGAGGGGGAAATTTTCAGCACAGTCGATGTTAAGGAGTCACCCATGTCTCGGTGAATATTATGATGTGTGGTTAGGATGATTGGATGATTTGGTGAAGCTGGGCTATTTTGTTTGTAATGAAGTTGTGTAGCAGGCGGAGGGTAGTTTGGTTATTGCGAGGTCGTGGTCTAAGGGAGGGGGGAGTGATGACAGGGAGCAAGGAGTCGGGAGTTGGGAAAGGAAAAGGGAGAAGAGGGGAGGAAGAGGGGGAAGGAGAAGGGGAGGAAAGGAGGAGGAGGAGGGGGGAAGGAAAGGAGGAGGGGGAATAGGTAAAGAAGAAGAGGGGGAAGGAGGGGTTGGGAAAGGAAGAGAGGGGAAGGGTAGGGTAAGGCCGAAGATGGAATATGATTGTGAGATGAATGGAAGCCCTAGAACAGTGGGATATGGAGCTTGGGATGAAAGTCTGGTGTGAGGATTTATTGGGGTTGAGTGCTTGATTTTATGTTTATGTGGGTAGTGTGTGTATAGTTTGTGGATGGATTTGGAGGAAGAACGTGTTGTAAGGAAGGACTGTTTATATCATGTGAATGGAGTGTGTTGAAAGACTTGGAGAGTGTGATGGGAGATGGCAGATCCGCACACCGCTCTTGTTAACTAATCCAGCGTATAACTGTGTGAAGGAGCCGATGCAGCTGATATGGTACCAACCAGCATGTGCAGACCTCTCACAGCAGTTATCGCACTGGATGGCCCTCTGGGACCATTTAATAGTCCTTGTGCAGATCGTGCATGGGTACTTGGGGCAGTAAGGGCCGGGGTTAACATTAACGCCGGTATTACCACAAAGGAGCAGCAGAAGAAGGATGGTGTGTCTGAGTGTTTATTTGTCTTGTAATATGTAATGGGGTGTCGTAGGGCTGCGAGGGAGTGAAGCCGGTCAGTGCTTCTTTGTGGTGTATGAGTACTTTGTTGTTGATTTGTGGATGTCTGCGTATGTTTAAGGATTTGTGCATAAAGTGTGAGTAAGATGAGTGTTAATGTAAGAGCAAGAAAGGTAATGTGTAAAAATAAGTGGCATCTATCATTGTTTTCTCTTACCTTTCTTGAGCGTGAGTTGGTTACATGTTGTGTTGTAGGCGTAGAACTGTCAAGTAGCAAGTCATGGCGCAGAACAAGTGTATATAAATGTGTAAGTGATGATATATAAGAGTCAATATTGGTTAAAAATAGGTGATAAAATACTAAAAACACATAATATGTTATGTTTTTTGTTTAAATCTAAAAGATTAAATAAATTTAAAAAGCGTATGTTCTGATGTGTTCTTAACTTAGCAGAGGATTTAAAGATATGAAGACTTAGTTTCAATTCCATTTATTACAGTGGATATTCTTTGCTATGACATATTGTCCGTTTTATTTTGCTTCTAAATCTCCCCCTGTGTGCAAGGAATGGCCGGGGTTACCACAGGTAGTGCGCAGGATCGAACGCAGGTCAGCAAGAGTACAAACCCAGCACGTTACCACTGGACTACACAGCATTGGGTACGGGAGTGAGGGATGGGCAGAGCGTGTGGAATCACGTCCGTCTGCCACGGTGTCCAGCAAACAACCAACCAAGTATGAAAGTATGGTACATTTTCCGATTCAAATAGAAGTAATCTCAGCTTGTGTTCACTTTTCCATGCTGCATCAACTTCTTTACAGTTCTGTAGACGGCGATATGACCTTTCAGATGGTCTTCTAACCTTGCTCTCCTTTCTGATCATGCTGCCCTTAGTCATCCCTGTGAATATTCATATAAACTTGCCCTCTTCACAATTTTACCTAAATCACCTTTTATGTAAAATACTATCCTACCTATACCCCATACAAGTCCAATAACTTTCCAACATTTTGTTTAGAGTAGCATAAGAAACCATCCTCTCTTTGTCGATAATGATACTTATTGTACCTAATAACTTTTCAGTAGTGTATAAGAACTATATAATGGCCTAACTTCTGATACTGTTAATCATCAAATGAACTGGATCAATTCATACGGCATCGACTAAACAGAGTGCTCTGTCGCTCGCCTTCAGAACGGTTATATAAGTAGATATCAAAACTTTCTCATTGTCTATTTTTGGGGGGCATTAATGGCTCTCTCATACCAGGATCGTGCTATTAATGTGAAAAATCCCCGTGATGTTGAAATTAGAGGGATCATATCCATTACCCAAGACCACCAAGATCGCTTGCAGGAGTTCCCAGTCCCTCTAAAGCAATGGTTCTTAACCATTTTGAAGTCACAAACTCTCTTAAGAACCCGATAAAAGTTATGGACCCCTTATCCAGAAATATTCACATAAACACAACTTTGCATGCAACGCGTACACGGCCACAAAAATGAAAGCTGCTGTTTTGCGTTTGGGCAAAAATTTAAACTGATGAGGCTATTTTTCATTATTCCTTATTCATTTCTACAAGCATTCAAAGAGGAGAACAAGCGCTTTCCAAAGTCATCAAATCATCTTAGTTCATGTCGATAATCATGACACTTTTCTTTCATATACACTAGTAAAAGCATTCTGTCTCTCTATCTCTCGAGAAAACATGACAAGAGAACAGCTTTTTAAAATCATGAAATCATATTTTGGGGGGAATAATGAAATTTATTGAAAATAATGATTTTTTTGGCGGGTATTGTCGGGACCTGCGAGCATTGGTCGCAAAATATGAACTTTGATTATCATGGCAATAGGTAATTTTTCTATTGAAATTTGTTTGCTTGATACATATATGAGATACAGAAAGGATGATTAAACTTTAAAGTAGAAAATCTAAAATCAGCACTGCTTTCTCTGCAGACAGTAATGCTAATTCTAATCTGACCTAGCAATATTTGACCAAATCCTGGTAATGATATCTGTGGGCCGTTTATATTATATCAATAAAATAGCAGTGCAGGATGTTAAGAATGTAGCTCTAAAGGTCCTATCACACGTCAATTTTTTACGTTTCCGAATAAACTTTCCGTATGAAAATCGACTGTGCCATGTTAGGGATTTTGACAGTTCGCGCGCATTTTTCCTTACAGCCAATAGGGAGAGGCCACCTGGATGTCTGTAGGCTCTCAGCCAATGAGAGGAGTTGACACATTCGCTCTTCCACGTGCTCTCTCTCTCAGGCGACAGCGTCTCTTTGTTCTTCACCTTTTTTGTGTTATCATCACCTTATTTCGAGATTCAAGGAATCCCAGTACTAAGTATAAGTTTTATGTGTTCTATGATATATAGGTCTGGTCAGAATAAATGTTTGAATCTGTTTAGTGGTGTATTTTTATGAAATATCCTATTGCATGTGTGTAAAATATTTCTATGTTCCTAGGTTATGCATTTATCTGTTCGTTAGTTTCTTACTACAAGGCCCTGGATTCTGTTCTATTACTTTGATGTCATTCATGGAGTTAAAAACCTTGTTATCTTAGATCTTCAGTAAAATAGGAATCAACAGCATTGTTTATTTTAACCGTTGTGTAACAAAATTGGCGACCTTGCCAGGATCCAGGTGCCGTGTAATGTATTAGGAAACTGCATCATTTATGCCAGTTATCTCTACCCATCTTTGTAAACATGGCATCTATCATTAGTGAAGAGGATGTTAAGAATTTTCTTTCATCAGAACCATCTGTTGAGAAAGTTGAATCATTAGGGAAGCATGAACTAAAAATAGTTGCTAAATTTCATGAACTGGAGTTTCCTTCAGATGTAAATAGATTCCCATTAGTTAACATGATTAACAGGAAATTGTTTGGTATAGAGAATCTTTTTTCAGGGAATTTCCCTGAAGAAATTGACCGTGTTCATGACTTTTCAGCTTCACATGAAGTTACAAGTGAAGGCTCAAGCAATCTTAAAGACCCTTGTGTGCTCTTAGAATTAGAAAAGATCCGTCTGGAGCAGGCCAAACTTGATTTGCGCCGGGAAGAGATGAAGCTAAATCATGAGTTTAGAATAAAACAGCTGGAGAGCAATGTCTCTATTCATTCCTTTGATGTGGCAAGACAGGTAAGACTTGTTTCCACCTTTTGTGAGAGCGGGATGTCAAGTACTTTGTGATGTTGAAGGTTTGCACAGAGTTTATGTTGGCCCAAAGAGTATTGGCCAATATTGTTGCAAAGTGTTTTGAAGGGTAAGGCTCAAAGTGTGTATGCATCTTTATCAAACATTCAATGTGTAGATTATGATATTGTGAAAAATACTATTCTGAAGTCGTATGAACTTGTGCCAGAGGCATATAGGCTCAAATATAGAAACAATCCAAACTAACTGACCAGACTTGTGAAGAATATGCCAGAGTTAAAGATTTGTTTAATCAGTGGCTTCGTTCAAAAGAGGTAAAGTCAGACTTTGTTAAATTAAAGGAACTAATGTTATTAGAGGAATTTGCCAGATGTGTTCCTAAAGAAGTTTCTCTATACTTATCTGAACGAGGTGTAGATAATATAGCTGTTGCTGCCATTATGGCTGATGAGTATGTATTGACACATAAGACCTATACTAATAAACTTCCGGGTTTTCAGAATAAGAGAGATGTTGTAGCAGCTTCTCACAGTAAGTTTGCTCGTCCAGATGATGTAGTGGACCATGGAAAGATGTCCAAGCCACATGATTTTGTACAGGGGAAGAAATGTAAGATTTGTAATTACTGTGGGAAGACTGGCCATTGGGAGAGAGAGTGTTGGAAGAAGTCACGAGAAATTAAGGCTAAATCAGTAGCCTTGGTTTCCACTAAAGTAAGTTTATCCAAAAAGTTTTCACCTGTAACTGTTTTCCCCAGAAATGAAAATAAAGCTTCTTTAAGAAAGTTGGATGTAAACAGTGGTGATAGGGCTTTCACTGGATCGTATGATAGTTTTATGCACGAAGGTACTGTCTCACTTGAGGGTGGGGAAAAGAAATCTGTTCAGATTTTACGGGATACTGGCGCTTTAAAATCTCTCATGTTAAAAGGTTTGGTTGATTTTGAAAGCCCAGAGAAAATAGTTGTTCATGGAGTTGGAGGATCCATCTCTGTTACCCCTGTGAGAGTGTACCTTGAGTGTGAATTCTTTGAGGGTTTTGTGTGTGTAGGCCTGGTGGATCAATTGCCTATGCATGGTGTTCATTTCCTGTTGGGAAATGATATAGCGGGCAAGAAGGTGAACCCTGTCCCGTTATTATCTGAGAAACCTGTAGCTGTGGAAGAAACTAAGCAATTAGTTGAGGAAGTACCCCATGTGTTCCCTGCTTGTGTTGTAACAAGGTCCATGTCTACCAATATTAAAGTACCCCAGACTGGGAATGTAATCAATCCTGATGTTGTTAACTTGGCTGATACCTTCTTTGCCACCATTGACTCTGTAGATAGAGTAGCACTAGTTAATCAAACTGATATGTCTAAAGGATTAATTGAATTGCAGCAAGCTGACCCTGAGTTGCAAGACTTAGCTGAAGCTGCTGTGGCTGAAAATGAGTGTGATGAACTGTCAGTTTGTTATTATTTGAAAAGGGGTGTATTAATGCGTAAGTGGAGACCCCATTCTTCCCTAGTAATTGACAGTGAGTGGGTGACAGTACACCAGGTAGTAGTTCCAAATGTTTATAGGTATGATATAATGAAACTTGCTCATGATTCTACCTTTGCAGGACATTTGGGGTAAGAAAGACCTTAGACCGGATTTGGCGTAACTTTTATTGGCCTACAATTCGCAAAGATGTTTCCCGTTATTGCAGGACGTGCCACACATGCCAAATGGTCGGTAAGCCTAATCAACCTCCTGATATTGCTCCATTAATACCCATTCCCCCCTTTGATGCTCCATTCTCCAGAGTGGTTATTGATATTGTTGGCCCTTTACCTAAAACTGCAACAGGATATTCTTATATTCTTACTATCATGGATATGGCTACTAGATATCCTGAGGCTGTTCCTCTCAAAAATACCTCAGCTAAAATAGTAGTAAGAGAGTTATTACAGTTCTTCACAAGGTTTGGCTTACCTAAAGAAGTGCAGTCTGACCAGGGATCAAATTTTATGTCCAAAGTTTTCAGACAGTCCCTCCGGGAACTAGGTATTGAGCAGATCACTTCCACTGCTTACCATCCTCAGAGTCAAGGTGCCATAGAACGTTATCATCAAACTCTTAAAAGTATGATTACAAAATTTTGTACAGAAAGTCACAAGGATTGGGATAAAGGCTTGCCTTTCTTGCTTTTTGCTACTAGAGAAACACCTAATGAATCCTTGGGTTTTTCTCCATTTGAGTTAATGTTCACCCACGAGGTGAGAGGACCATTAAAATTATTAAAAGAAGAGTGGCTTGGTATGGATGAGAATGTAGGACTTTTATCTTATGTTAGTGACTTTAAAGAGAAGCTGAACCGTAGTTGGAAATTGCTAGAGATAACTTGGTTTCTTCCAAAAGAAAATGAAGAAATGGTACGAGAAAAGCGAGAATGAGGGTGTTCCAGCCAGGTGATCAGGTGTTGGTTCTGCTCCCCATACATGGTCAACCCTTACAGGCAAAATTTAGTGGTCCATATTTGGTAAAGCAGAAGCTGAGTGATGTTAATTATGTTGTTTCCACCCCAGATAGGAGAAAATCCAGTCGACTATGTCACATAAATATGTTAAAACCATACTACCAGAGGGATTCACCAGATGCTCCAGTGTGTGCAGTAGCTCTAACACCCACAGAAGATGAAGATAATGCTTGCCCGCCGACATTGGAGATGACTGGGACCTGGGAGAAGAACACTAACGCCTGGACCAAGGTATCAGATAAGCTCACCCATCTAACAGCAGAGCGGAGAGAAGAATTTGTCTCACTCTTGTCTCGGTATCAGGATGTATTCCGGGACACACCAGGACTTACAACATTAGCAGTGCATGATGTGAATGTGGGGGATGCTGCACCAGTGAAGCAGGCGCCTTACCGTGTAAATCCAAATCGTCTTGCCCCTCTTCAACAAGAATTGAATTATATGTTAGAACATGGACTAATTGAAGCTTGCCAAAGTGAGTGGTGTTCACCTGTGACTCTAGTGCCCAAGTCTGATGGGAGATATCGATTTTGTATTGATTTCAGGAAAGTCAATGCTCTGACTAAGACAGACACATATCCGTTACCAAGGGTGGATGAGTGCATCGACAAAGTGGGAAGTTCTAATTACATTAGCAAGTTTGATCTAAAGGGGATATTGGCAAGTTCCTTTGACTGAGGACATTTCATGTTTTGTTACTTTGGGTCAAACTTATAAGTGTAAAGTGATGCCCTATGGTATGAAAAATGCTCCTGCCACTTTTCAGAGATTGATGAACACTATTACTGCAGGAATCAAAGGCTGTGTAACTTATATAGATGATGTGGTTGTCTACAGTGATTCTTGGGAAGAACATATCTCTGAAGTTGGAGAACTCTTGAATAGATTCTCCAGTGATAATCTTGTTGTAAACCTTGCAAAGTGTGAATTTGTTAAAGCACAAGTACAGTATCTTGGGTATGTAATTGGACAGGGATCAGTAGCCCCACCACTGGCTAAAGTTGAATCTATATGTCGGTGTCCCAGACCTCAGAATAGGAAAGAATTACAAAGATACTTAGGTATGATAGGTTACTATCGTATGTTTATTTTAAATTTTACAGAAGTGGTAGCTCCCCTCACTGATTTGTTGAAGAAAGGTATCAACTTTGAGTGGAGTAAGAAATGTGAACTAGCATTTGATCAAGTCAAAGCTATTCTTTCTAATTCCCTTGTTTGGAAGCTCCTAATTTCAGTAAGCCCTTCAAATTGGCTGTAGATGCAAGTAATGTTGGTGCTGGTGCCGTCTTATTGCAGGAAGATGACCAGGCCATTGATCACCCAGTTTGTTACTTTAGTAAGAAATTTTATTCAGCCCAGAAAAATTATTCTACCCTTGAGAAAGAGTTATTATCACTTATACTTGGTCTTCAACATTTTGCTGTTTACCTTAATCCTTCTGGCCATGAAATTACGGTATTTACTGACCATCATCCTCTCAAATATTTGAATGAGTTTAGAGATAAAAACCAGCGATTAACTAGATGGAGTTTATACTTGCAAGAGTTTCATCTTAATATCATTCATATAAAAGGAAAGGATAATGTGATTGCATATTGTCTGTCACGACCTTAAGATATTGTTGAAACATAAAAATTTCATTGTAAATTTTTCTTCTTAGAAAGGGAGGTGTTAAAGCCAGTGCCATGTTAGGGATTCTGACAGTTCGCGCACATTTTTCCTTACAGCCAATAGGGAGAGGCCACCTTTGATGTCATTCATGGAGTTAAAAACCTTGTTATCTTAGATCTTCAGTAAAATAGTAATCAACAGTATTGTTTATTTTAACCGTTGTGTAACACCATGTAAACAAATATGGCGCTATCGGAGTGAGGTCACGGAAATCACACGAACATTCATACATATTACGTTGTTTTAAAGAAATATGATGATGTATATTGTATATACGAATGTTCTAAAATATCAGCTTGTTTATATTCACTCATCCTATCTTAATTTATTAATAGCACAAGATCAAGACGGAAATTAGTCAGACGGAAACGGTCGCAACCCTCTTCGCCTGGGAGGCGTTCCGTTATCCATTTTCATGTCATTAATGGCCAGTAATATTGTTCACCTCGCTAAAGTCCTACCTTATGTTGGCACCATAGGCAGCACCTCTTCTCTTTACCCTACATCGCAAGTGTACTAAATGGTATCAGAGTATGTCTGTGTTAATTATCCTCAGTGCCGACTCATGATTTGGATACTTTATGCCATGTACAATACAAACAAACTGGCTGGTTATTGAGACAGAGACTGAGTCGCGTTTCTTCTCCAGGCTCTGTGGGTATCCCACTAAAAGCAGCCTTCAACAGAAATGCCTTGAGTGCCCCGGGGTTAGTGATCTGCTGTCACAGGGCTTAATCAGCATGTCA